GGTCAGCTTGGCACTGGTAATAAAGCTAATTTAGTAACAGCTACAAAGATAGCCAATGAGAAACCAAGGTAAATAAACTTTCCCTTTTTTGTTGTAAATATTACCTGGTACATCTGCTTTGAATTAAACATCTGAATGTATGTGACTATTAAATCAGTATGTGAACAACCTTAGCCAGTATGTAGCCAGGATATTACAATTATACTCCCAATAGTTGATGGTGTAAAAACTAATATTTTAACTCATCAAATACCCAAAATTTAACACAAGATATTAGGTGTTGTTTGATTAATTTCTAAAATCAAGTGGTAAACAATATCATCAGAGTAAAAAATTACAAAAAAATTCAAAACTGGTTAGTTTTTCGTTAAAATTGCATCCCAAAATTTTGTTATCATATTAAATATAACAGTTTGAAATACAATCATGACACAAAAATGTTCAAAATGTTTCTTAAAATTGTTATTAATGTTTTCAATAAATTTGTGCTTTTATTACGATTTTCATTAAAACTTAATTTTATATACCAGTAAATTTTTGTCCTATTTAATTCTGTGATACCTACAACTGTGCTATAGAAATTCACAGTATTTCTACATTATAGACTTAATTATAATTAACAAATTATTATTATTATTATCTGTAGATTTGTTGACATTGCAGCCACTCATTATAACCATGTGTCCGCCTCAATGACACAGACAGGAATTGTATTTATGTGGGGACAGTGTCGTGGTCAGTCAATAACTACACCAACAGAAACTCAGTTTTCCTCAGTATCAGAAGTATTTGCTTGTTTTGCTTCACCGTCTGTTACATATTGTCCTTTATTAATAGGTAAGAATAGTGATTTCATGAGAATACCGCAAAATATGCATGAAGGGCAGTAGGGTTATCATTTTAAATGCAGGTAAGCACAGGTCAATGCATTCCTGTACTGCCTGACTGCAGACTTTGCTGTTTTCTCATGATAATGTTATTATTATAGATTTTTTTCATGAATACGTATGAAGGGCAGTACGGCGATCATTTTAAATGCAGCTAAGCACAGGTCAATGCATTCCTGGTACTGCCTGATTGCAGACTTTGCTGTATTCTCATGATAACGTTATTATTAAACATTTTTTTCATGAATATGCATGAAGGGCAGTAGGGTGATCATTTTAAATGCAGCTACAATGTAAGCACAGGTCAATTCATTCCTGTACTGCCTGCGTGCATACTTTGCTGTATTCTCATGATAATGTTATTATTATAGATTTTTTTCATGAATATGCATGAAGGGCAGTACGGTGATCATTTTAAATGCAGCTAAGCACAAGTCAATGCATTCCTGTACTGCCTGATTGCAGACTTTGCTGTATTCTCATGATAACGTTATTATTATACATTTTTTTCATGAATATGCATGAAGGGCAGTAGGGTGATCATTTTAAATGCAGCTAAGCACAGGTCAATGCATTCCTGTACTGCCTGCGTGCATACTTTGCTGTATTCTCATGATAATGTTATTATTATAGATTTTTTTCATGAATATGCATGAAGGGCAGTACAGTGATCATTTTAAATGCAGCTAAGCACAAGTCAATGCATTCCTGTACTGCCTGACTGCAGACTTTGCTGTATTCTCATGAAAACGAGGACTTATGTTTTGACATCCGTGTGTGCGTGCGTGCATTTGTGCATGCGTCCGGACCTGTATCTTAGGAACGCTTGGACCAATCACAATCAAACTTCACACATACATCATACATGATATTATACATATGCACGTCAATTTGTTTCACGGTCTGATTCAAGATGGCCGAATGGCGGCCATTTTTGTGCTAAAAACCATCAAAATTGAGCATTTCTCGGCTGTTTAAAGATGGATTTTGTTCAAACTTGGTATATACATTAGACATTATGGGACCTTGATGCAAATAATTTTGTTTTTGAGATAAGATTCAAAATGGCCGACTGGCGGCCATTTTGTATTAATGAATGTGGTTCTCGTGCCATATCTCTGACTTGCTTTCACTGATTATGTTCAAATTTTAAATATTCATTATGTATCATGTCATGGATAGACAGATATATTAGTTTGACGATCCTATTCAAAATGGCCAAATGGTGGTCATTTTTGTGCTAAAAAAAATCATCAAATATCAAGCATTTATGGGTGGATTTCGTTCAAACTTGGTACATACATTAGACATTACGGGTTCCTGATGCTCGTCATTTTATTTTTCAGATTGGATTCAAAATGGCTGACTGACGGTCATTTTGTTTTAATGATTGGGCTTCTAGAGCCATATCTCTTAAATGCTTTGACTTATTATATTTAAATTTTATATATTCGTTATACATCATGTTATATATATACATGTATTCAAAATGGCTGATTTTGAATGCTGTTCCAGAGCAATATCTCTCAATTTGGACAAGTACTTGTTTGACGATCAGATACAAT